GTCGCCTTGAGGTCCGCGGAGGTCGCCTTGAGGTCCGCGAATATCGCCTTGAGGTCCTCGAAGGTCACCGGGTGGTCCGCGGCGATCACCAGAATGTCCGCGTCGGTCACCAGAATGCCCGCGCCGGTCGCCAGAATGTCCGCGGGTGTCTCGGCCAAATGGCATTTGGGGCATGTCATTTGGTTCGCCGGAATCTTTCATACCCGGTCCTCGCGGCATGCCAGGCAAGTCACCCCGTGGGCTGTTGAGATCGTCGCTTGGGCTTCTGAAAGGATCGTATGGTGCCTTCATGTCATCGCTAATTGCCTTAGAGATAGACGAGGGGGAGTCTCTGGGTCCTGCTGCACCATCCCGTAGTCCGGGAGAATCACGAGGCAAGGCAAATTTGTCACCTGGACCCCGCCTGTTGTCCATTGGTCCTCCAAATTTACTTGGACCACTTCTCGCTTCTTCTCTTGTATCACTGCTGTCAGTGATGCCAACTTTCAAATCTCCCAACTTAGGTAGCATTCCTGGTCCTCCAAGCTTCAGATCGGGACCTCTAAAAGGATTCGGTGGTCCTCGGGGTTCGTCTGATACTCCTCGTGAACGGTCTGATCCCATGGGGGCGTCAAAAGGCCTTCTCCGGTCATTAGGCATATCTCTGAAATTGTCTTTTGGTCCTCTGAAGTCTTTAGGGGGGCCACGGAAGTCATCTTGAGCACCTCTCATAAAGTCGTCAATAAAATTATCTCCCGGCTTCCTGAAGTCCTTGAATTTATCATGCATTCCCCTCATAAGCGGTTGCGGCCCTCTGAAGTCATCTCGTGGGCTGCGGGCATCGTCGGTTGGTCCTTTCCCGTCACGACCAAATTCTGGACGGAAGAGTGGCGGTCCATCAAACAAGCTCCTCGGTCCGGAGTCTCCCCGCTGGGCTGGGCTCAGATCCCGCGAATTGTTCTCTCTCCCCGCGCGGAAGTCATCCCTGGAGCCGAAGGGACCCTTGCGTGGTCCAGGAAAGTTGTCCTGAGGACCCCTGGAGTCGGGTCCTTGGTCGGGACCGCGAGCCGCGTCCTTCTTGCTGTCGTTGGCCTGTCGCCGCCTGGCCTCGGCCAACATCTTCAGAGGGTCGTAGTCCTGCGACGAGCTGGATGCGGCGTTGGATGGCGCCGACCTGGACGGCCCCCACCTGCGGTCGTTCCCCTGCTCTTCAGACTGCCATGGGTTCTGGGGCGCATCAAACGGCATGGACTGGAAGCCATGCGGACCAGCGGAGGGCCCGGCGCCGAGGCCGGCGAGGAGAGACGGGGGCGCCTGAGGGGGCACCAGTGGGGGCACCTGCGGAGGCGCCTGGGCGAAGTCGGGGTAGCCGCCCTGGCCGAAGCCCTGGTTCCAGGCCTGGAGGTCGGCGGCGGCAGGACCCGACTGGTAAGGGCTGGGGTAGCCGGTGGCCGCCATGGCGTTGTTGTACATGGGGTACGCGGGCTGCTGCGGCTGCCCGGCCGAGAAACCCGGGGGAGCGTTGAGAGGGACTGCAGCGGCCTGGCCGCCGAGCGCCTGGCCGAAGAAGCCCTGTTGTAGAGAGCCACCAGCATCATTCTTGCCACCCTCCAAGCCGGGGATGCCCATGCTGCCCATAGCCATGCCCACGGCTGCAGCAGCAGGCTTTTTGGCAGGCTTGCTGGAGAAGTAGTCATTCTCAGGTTTCTTGAATTGTAAAGGCTTATCACTTAAATCCTCTGGGGGTGGAGGAGGAGGGCCTGCTGGAAGCTAAAGCAAAGAGAGAAACGTTGTTTCAGTTGCAGTTATATTTACTGCCGGAGGGGAATATTAGGTTACATTTGAGAAAATATCCAAACTCATTAGAAAGAATTACCTTTGGAGGTGTGTCTGGAGGAGGTGGTGGAGGAGGACCCTGAGGTAGTGGTGGCAGTGAAGTTGGTGGTGGCGGTTGAGATGGAGGCTTTGCTGCAGCAGCTGGGGCTTGAGGTTTACTCTCATTTTTGTTCTTGCCATCAGTAGACTGTAATGTATTAAAATGTGACAATATTAATCTTCAGCAAATACAGCAGTTTCAATAAAAATATTTTGTCAATTTCTTGTCTTACGCGTTCTCGTTTTTTCCTCATGGTTTCTCGGCGTTGAATGAGTTGCTCTCGCCATGTAAACCACTTTTGCTCGTATTGTTTGTATTGCTCCTGCAAGAAATTTAAGATTAGATCCTAAGTAAATGCTGACTATTTCTTAACTGTTTTATCAAGCATATAACTCTTACTTTGTTGGGATGATTTTGGTTTTGTTTCTTCCATGCATCAAACTGAGACTCCCACCGCTTGAACTGTTCATCAAACATCTTTTCATTTTCTGACCTATCCTGACTTTCAGAACTGTTTGGTTTGAACTGATCTTGGCCAGAATTCTCCTTGAATTGATCATGGCTAGAATTGCCTTTAGATTTTTTGGCAGGGTCTGACTCTAAAGATTGTCTATCATTTGGGCGTGATCTCTTCCCCAAAAACTCCTAAAAATAAAAAAAATAAAAACTTTAGTACATAAAAAAAGGATGAAGCAACATTACAATTACCTAGATTGATAACTGGTTGCCCAAATAGAGCTACATGAGTACAAAATTAAATGTTGAACTTGCCTCATTTCTAGACTCTCTTGAGAATTGTTTTTGATTAGCATTATGTGAATTTCTGTAAAGAAAAAAAAAATAGGTGAAACTTCTGAAAACAAATTTGGAGATGACACATACAGAAAGGGGGAAAAAAATGTGAAGATTTGTAGAGACAACAGAAGAACTTAGAGCTGAGATGGTCAAATTAAATAATTATAAATTAAATACAGCTTTAACAGACAAAAATTACATACATTTTAATGGGTACATTAGTTTGATGAAGCAAAGTAACTTACATTGATGAAGGGGGTTGTACAGGTTGAGGAGCTGCAGCAGGAGTATTTGTTGGTGTTGTATACAAAGCTGCTGCTGCATTGTGTGCTGCAATTCCAGGCACAGATAGGCCAGCGGCTAAGGCAGCCTGGTACTACAATTGGAAAATACACAGAATTAGTAAATTTGGTATTTGAGATAATTATAAGCAGTATGTTCTGATATTTTGGAAAAAAGTATACCTTTTCGCCGTACTGTGCCTGCCACTGAGCATACTGAGTTTGCCACTGTTGCCACTGCTGCCAGTTCTCCTGATGAGCTGCCCCTGGCTGTAGAAGAGGTAAGAAAGTTGAGTTTAGTGAAAAACATTCCAAGTTTAGAAATATGTTGTCTTTGAAGCATTCATTAACAGTTAGTATGACTTACATCACCAGTGGGTGCGGCAGAACCGCCTGCATACATCTGATATGAAGCTGCATTTCCTGGGATGGATGCACTCACACCCGCTGCAGATGGATTACCCGAAGGCCACTGATTCCAATTACTCGCCATTTTGCTTTGAAACTGAAACCAAAATTCTTTGTGAGCCAGATGTGAAAACGCACAGAATCACGCATTGGAATGCAATTAATCAGTGTACATTTACTTGCATTTCACAACCGAAACCTAGTACTAAATGTCAAATTTTCCTCACCTTGTAAAGTGGTCAACTCATCTTTCCACTTAATCCTGAAGAATCACTGTAAAGGCAGGCATCTTCAGTTTACCACACAAGAGCAGTAAGAAGTATACATCTAATTAAACTAGAACTTCTAAGTGTGTCTTTCAAAGGACGGATGACCCAATTTGTTCAGTTTTAAAATTCACTGTACTACACAAGAGTGGTAGTTTAGTAGCCTATTGAAGAGCTTTGTTCCACTTAGATTTTCACCGAACTTTGAGAACGGTAACCCAACATACACTACGAAAATCAAGAGAAAATGAGGTTCAGATTTCACCTCCCTTTTCCCTCAGTTTACAGTTGATAGAGCCGGTTTTCTCCACGTATCACGCAGTTTGAGTAAGGGAGCTGATAGGTTATGTAGTGTGCTTAAGAACCTTCGGATAATTGATATTCATGTTTCTTCTGACCAGCTTGAATAGTAAAATCGTAAAGGTTGTCAAAAGTTTAAACGGCACTGGAAGTTGCACGCAACTTATGGACGTATTCAGAGATAAAAGTGACACTCTTTGGAGTTTTCATAGCCTAACTGTTGTGTTTTTCCCCACTTTGGAGGGGTAAGCTGAAAAATAACATAGATCTTTGACTACCTGTTATAAACGATTAACACACCTCGTCTCACATGATGTGGTATAGTTTTAAGTAGAAAACAAAGGACAGAAATCCATTTTCTCTTCTGAAATAAACACCAAAGCAATATGGAGATAGCTGAAGATCAAGCTTCAAAAAAAGATGAGGGACATGAGCGCTCTCGTGCGGTGGCCGGCGAAACTATCTTTGCGTTCTTTTCATCTTGCCAACATTTGAGCACGAAACATCTGAATTATCACATGCTTGCTTACCACTTAACAAACGTGGACAGGTTACAATTGAAATCATTTTATCTTGTCCCACATCTCATGCTAATATTTTTTTCAAAATTTTACCTCTGTCACTCCGATTTGTTTTCATGCCCGTAAGTATGAGAATTTTTCTGTACAGATGTCAGCTGACAGTTAAATCTAAATTTTCTGATAACCCAAATGTTCAAATATTCCACTGTTTAAAACTTATTCTTTCGGATGTGTTGCCTTGCACAGAAAACTACAGATTTCATTATTATTTATTATTATTTTGTAAAGTATCTCTTATGCCTCGTGCCTTTCACCTCCCTCATTGCTGGAGAGTGCCGATTGGTTAGTCTCTGAGCGCGAAAATTGAAATGGTCCCAGTCTGCAATGATCACTCAAATATGTCAAACTTTCATCAAATGTACTATTTTTTCGTCAAATTGACGGTCTTTTGATTGATCTTTGTAGACTCAGGTTGACGAAGATTTAAGTGTTGGCTTCACTTGGGGTAGATAGGACAATAAGTAGCATAAGTACGTAAAAATATGTTTTTATTATTACAATCTTAACTATCAACAACACAGCCTGAACAGAGAGAGGTGAGATTAACACGTTCAGTGCGGCTGTACATTTCAGGAATTGGAAAAACTAGCCCAACGTGGCCACATAGTGGTCACGCCGCACTGAACGTTTAAATGCTTAAATGGAAAGCCACCGAGGCTTCCAAATCACCCCCTCCCCCTCTCACACACATTTAAACGGAAATTCGTACACCTGATGAGCGCTGACGTTTTACTGCGCAGTCGTTTGCCGCGACGCGTCCCAACAGCGACGGAACGTATCGGAAAAGTCGGTTGGGGGCTGCAGCGGGGAGCGGCAGTTGAACGGGCCTTGGAAGTGCACGCGCGCCAGGTCGAAGCAGTCCACGCGCTTGTTGCCGTCGCAATCCTGTCGACAAGAGGACAGTGGAGAATTAGAGGGCGTCCGTCACAGAGATAGAAAGCTCAGCCAACCATTAGCCATAGGTTTGATTCGCCATCTCCCTTGCGTACGGCAAGGCAGTACAGCCTCAGCCCGCTGCAGTGCGGAGACGGTGGCAGCAGCGGCGAGGCGGCAGTTTCTCAACGCTATATTTGACATTGACTGGACGGACGAATGAATAATGCGCAAATTTACCTGAGCAAACCTGTCAAGGTAGCCTCGCACAGCCTCGGCGGCGCAGAACGAGTCCCGCAGGCAATCGGAAGAAGCTGCGAGACAAAAAGACCACGGAGGTGTTGAGCGGCGAAGGGCAGGGCGCAAGGACAACATTCGCGCAAAAAGGGTCACCTCACCCTGTATCGAAAGGCTATCTTACCTCCAGGTCTGTCCGGCGAGTCTCCCCTCAGCAGCGGCTTGCCGGCCAGCGTCCAGTACCGCTTGGAGAGGAGGAACGGCCCGCAGAATCCCCTGTCGTCGCAGCCCAGGGTCTCGTCGCAGCCGCTCGCCGCCTCGCAGATGCACGGCAGGCAGGCCGGGTCCCCGTTGATAAGCCAGCGGCCGACGCCGGGCTCCAGGAACTGCGGTTTGGCTGCGGGGGGAGGCGTTGAGTCGTAATTAATGCCAGCAGTAATCTATGGCGTGTGTGTAGGTATGCAGGCACTGTGGGACGCGTACCCGTGTCATTGGCCTGGGGCCGCTGGCGGGGCAAGGCGGGCTGCGGCTGCAGCCTCTGCTGCTGCGGCTGCACGGCGATCACCCTGCGCTGCGGCTGCTGCTGCTGCTCCACCACCTCCTCCACGATGATCCTCGGCACGGCCTGCTGCTGCCCCCGCAGGAAGTTCTGCGGCTGCTCCGCCACCTCCTGCACGATGATCTGCGGCAGGGGCTGCCGCGCCTGCACCTGGCTGGGCTGCTGCCCCCGCAGGAAGCTGTTCTGCTGCCGGGCGAGCTGGTTCTGCGAACAGCAGGGGGAGCGTTGAGGACAGTCACCGGCGGCGTGACCAGCGCGACGGCGGCGTCTCGACGCGTGACCAATGTGCTGCTCACCTGGATGTCCTGCACGAGGAGCAGCAGCTGGCGCTGGGCGGGCGACTCCGGCTGGAACTGGGCCGCGGCGGGCGCGGGCAGGAGCGCGACCACCACCACGGCGAGCAGCGCGGCGGCCAGCATCGCGGCGCCGGTCTTGGAGGTCCTGGAACCACTGTGGAAGCCCCGGTGGTTAGAGGTAGGCGTGTGTTGTTTTGAGCTGATGTGCGAGAGATTTATCGAACGCTCTTCCGCACACACTCATGGGCACCGGTGCTCGACGCGCGTTTGCGCCACAGGTGCGTGCGCGCCGCGCGCGACGCCCTGGGCGAGTCGAAGTAAGGCACGGCCAAGGTCAGCCCGCATCACAGTGCGCGCTGCTCGCCTCTGCCTGCCCGGCCTGCCCGGCCTGCCCCCCGCTCTCTGATCTGCATGTCCGCCCGGAGCCCGGAGCCACCGGCGTGGGAGATCAGATCCGGCGGCCGGGTGCCTCGGCGTTTACTTACCGGAGCCTCCGGGCTCCTCCGGGTCCACGGCGTCTAGAGAGAAAGAGGGGGACGGCGAGCAGCTCGCGGCCTCATCCTAATGAATGTGAGTGAGAGGCAGGATCCTTTATTTCCCTCCCGAATGAGACCGATGAACACGGTCTAACCCGACAACGTTCTTTCTCGCACTTGTGGGGCCGACGCCAAATGGCTATTTTCGATGGGACACGACACGGGGGCGGGCCAAAGTGGCCAGTTTGGCTGTCCATCCCGGCGGCCGCGGCCCGCTGGCGGCCCGGCCGGAGCTAGCGAGCGCGGTGTGTGTTGGTGTGTTCGCCTTCATTACCGCGCAATGGGTCAGAGGTTCGCGCGCCTCCGCCAGGCGCCTCCGGCCGGCCCGTCGCGTCCTCGTCACCGCTCGTCTCTCCAGCAAGGCCGCCCCCCCCCCCTTTTCCTCCTTCTATCCCTTCGCCTCCACTTCCTCTCTCGCTCTTTCTTTCCTCAATCAGGGTTAGCAAAGACGCGCGCGATTGTCTTCCGACCTTAAATTATTGCCTGCAGTCAAACGGACCGGCGTGGCGTGTGGCAGAGCAGGACGTCGCCGGAGGCATTCCGAAGAGCAGGCTCACGACGAAGAGAGATGGATAATTTTACTCCGAAGAAAAAGAACGGTCGGGAACACACGAAAACGGTATTTGTCCTTTGCTTGTGATTGGCAGAAAAACGGGCCCAGAAAAATGCCATATTTGTTGTTTTCCTGGACGATCCTCCTGCTCTTCTTCTTGAGGTGAAACTCTGCAGGGAGGCAAATGAGCGGGGAAGGAATGGAATCTTGAGCAAGAGCGTATGGGAGAAGTTGGTGTTGTATTGGGCTCGGCCAAGATGCCCATAGCGCACTCCGTTCGCCACCCGCGTCCGCTCAGCGTTTATTCATATTTCGACCGATCAATACACGAATACACCTAGATTACATACCGTGACGGACAGTCGCCTTCATTTGCGTATTTCGATCGGCCCCGCGCCAACCCAACGGTTTGGCGCCCGCCTCGTCCCCCGCCCTGCCCCGCCCTGCCCCGCCCTGCCCCGCCGCACTGCTACCGCTCTGTCGGTGCGTCGCCCACCTGAGGAGCCTTTCAATGAGTCACCGTTCTCAGGCGCAAAGCAGCCCCCCCGCCGCCGGTTGACCTCTCCTTAATCCTAGGCCAACCCGCGCAACGCGACACTCGGGCCGGCAACACCCGGGGCCAGGAGGGGCGGGGCGCCGGGCGCGGCGCCTGCAGTGGGCCCAAAGTGTGCCCAAAGTGTCCCCCAGCAGGACGCAGCAGCTGTCTCTTGGAGGAGCTGAAAGATAGCCACAGGAACGCCGCGCGGCGCCGCGCACCTGGCCGGCATGGCATGTTATTCGACACAGGCCGCAATCGGACGGATAGACGGAGGCGAGGCGAGACTGTCGCGATGGAGGTTTTACATCGATCGGTCTCCTCGCGGCGGCGGAAAGAGCCTTTGTGTGCGGCCGCGCCGTGCCAACCTCCTGTGATCGCGGCGGCATTCGCCGGTGTCTGCGATGCGTCCCTTTGTTTAACTCGGATAGCTGCGGTGGAAAGGGGAAAAAGGAGGGGGGGGGTAGAAAGGGAAGATACGGCGTCCACACCCACGACCACGCCAAGCACTTGCATGGAAGAGAGCGCAAGTAAAAGGACCATACAACGCCATATCCGAGGCCACTTGTGACCCTACTCTGTGAAATTCCTAATCCGAGATTTAGCAAGCACAGTTATTTAGCTCACGTGTAAAACATTTAACTATACTAACTTAAGCAAAGGCGGGAAGGACTGACATAGGGGTCCTCTGGCTGTAGGTGCCTTCCTAAAGGTCTTATGTGTGAAAAGAAATTAGCTCTGGACTGTAGCGCGTGATGACTGCATTTCCTGGTCAACATAATTGTTGACTCTCATCACACCGTTGTCATATGAAGCCCTCCTGCGCGCCGAGATTGCAGCCCCCAGCGGACAATTACAGCCGGCTCAACTCAAACCGCGCGCTGCGGCGGCCGGCGGCAGTACGAACGACAAGAGCAAGAAAAATAACCGCCAATTTTGGAACATGATGCCATCGGTTGGCGCGCATCATCTTGCCTTGCCTCTCCTCCTGGTTACGCCCCTCCCCAAAAAGAAAAGAAAAGTGCGACTTTGCCGGCAATAACAACTAAGCAGCAGCACGGCGGGCGCCGAATGTGACGGCGGGCAGCCAGTTTCCCGCTTGATTACCTCAACACGTTTGTACGCGGCTTCACTTGGCGGAGGTGGACGGGACCTCCCGGGTCGGGGCGGGGCTAATGCACCGTGCATGTCGCCTGCGAGCCCATGTCGCTGCGATTCCGAAAGGTCAGCGGCGGTGCCAGCTATACCGGGTCGTGACTACGGCGGTGTCTGCGTGTGAACCCGAAAGCCACGGGCAAGATATACACGTCAAAGGCACAGGGCTGGGCTGGGCACACAGTGGCAGCCCCCCCCCCTCTGCTCTGAAGACGCCGGTTATAGCGCCTTCCCTCTTCGACATCGCTTAGACAATCGTCGCAAAACAGGACGGAAGTTAAACGGAAGGCGCGATATGGGTTTTCGATCCTTGAAAACTCCCTTGCATTCAGTAAAAAAATGTTTTAGAAATAATAAACAAAGTGACCTTACCTCATTTACTTTGGTGATCCGCGGTCAATGAAACGAATGGCGCGCGAGCTCAGTTCCCGCCGCACGTGTCTCTCCCTGTGGACCCTTTCGTTCCTTCACTCGACTTCGTTTGCTCGCCTCCACACGCGTCGCGTCACAGCTCCATGCAGCCAGCGCGACTGTCCGCCTCCCCAGCCATGTGCAGACTGGACGCTCCAGTGGGAGCCGCCCGGCCCGCCGGGAGCCTGGCCTGGCACAGGGCCTGGCGGGGCGGGGCCACGACCAAGGGGGACCAGAGGCGGGGGCGCGCGGCGGCCCGGGCAGTCTGCAGCACAGCGCCCGTCTATAGGCAGTGCCGCTCGGCACGCCAGCCCATCGGGCTTGCCTACCTGACGCCCGGTCTGCCGCAAAGCGCCTGTCGATAGGCAATACCGCCCGGCACGCC